GAAAGAGTAAATTCATGTTGCATACACAGCTGTTTGGAAGGCACTGTGGGAGTGAGGAAATGGATGTTGGAGGACTGTACTGGTGTAGTAGTCATCTTATCTCCTCTCCCTGTTAAAGATATTATGTGGTTCTGTGCACGATCGTAATGCACTTTACATATATTTTGCTAAACTGCTGCTGTTACAAATATGTGATTTGCCTACCCCCATGTGCTGTAGTTTTTACATGTATGTTCTTAGTTCACCTTTTAGTATTGTGTTGCACTGTCCTTAGTTGATTTTTTTTTTTTTATGTTTTAGTTTGTTCTCAGTGCCCTTACTGGTGCCTGTAGTTCATACTTTATTTTGATGTGTTTTGTCTTTGTTCTTTTACGTCACCTCTGTCTTGTTTCTGCTCTTCTTTCTTTGTTTCTCTTATGGGTGTTTTTTATTCCTTCCTGTGCATGATGCATGTTGTCACCGTTTTGGATGGACCAGTGTGTAAGTGTCATCATCACTTATTTTTCTCCTGACACCTGATCCTGGCTCAAATGATACATTAATAGAAACATTTTGGTCTTTAGGTTAACTTAACTGGAGTGTGTTAATCCTGTTTTTGGGGTTGTGTGTTTCTCTGCATGTATACATATATGTTTTGCCTAACCCTGATTCATACTACTTCTAATGGAAGGCCATCTCCTGAACCATACACACTTCAATCACTCAGCAGCTCATAAAACTTTTTTTTAAAAATACAAAGCCACTGTGCAACAAGAACTCTTCTCAGCAACATACTGTAGGTAATTAAAAACACTGTCAGACAAGTATTAAGTAACAAAACCCACAAATGATCTTGAATTTTGAAGAAAGGTCTCTTCCCTTAAAGTCGTGTATGTAATAAAAGTACTGTAGATACCGTTCATGGTGCCATGTTCCTCACAGCAGAATATAAGCAAAGGATGTTGCACTGTGTGAAGCGAGAGGTCAGGTGTTGAGCTGCCCTTTTAGAAGCTTCATTGCAGGTCATGATAAGTGGCACTGAAGCGGGTATACAGTATTCCAGTCAGATATCTTTGCTTCACAGCAAAGCTGGCCAATGATATTATTAACTCTACTGTGGGTTTACAGCCATTTCCAACCCACAAACCATGAGCTGATGGATCCACGCTGCCTTGGGCAGGCATGCTGCTTATGGCTCAGGAGTTGCTGTTGGAGATGTGAAGGAAAGTGTAGTCAAAGTTGATAAGCAGATTCCATTTTATTATTATTATTGTACACTACAAATCTTGAATCATGTTCTAAACCCTCATCTCATTCATTACAATGAAAGTTGTTTACTGTCTGTATACATGGAAAGGTTTTTCCTTGGGTTTCTACCATTTTGTACCCTCAGAGCACCCACAGACAATTCCTCGGAGCTGCTGACTTTTTGTCAGCCTTCTGCACACTGATCCAGCACTTTAGGACTTTTCAAATTTAATTGGACTGAATGGATCAAATTCTGATGAGACGTTGCCTGTCAGCCAAACACTGTTCCTGGGGACTTGCTTAAAGCCCATACAATCCTTGTAAAAGGAACAAACCCTCCAAATGAAGCAGTGTACATCGTTCCATGCCCAATTGATTTCTGCTCTGACACTGCTTTAGGCAGAACAACCATCTGTCTCTTTCATGATGTGACAGCTGGTACCCTGGTACTCCAGTACAAGAGTCCAGCTCAGCCCTCACAGTAAAGTGGTAAGATGAACCTGCCTGTGGTTTACAAATACAAGTTTCCTAATCTTAAATTTAGGCTGAGACAGAGGAACTCATCCAGCTTTTAACTGTCTTCTGCCCTAAATCCTCCCCTATTAACTCTTTACCAGCACTATGCTGACCTGAAAATAGAATATTGAAAAAGTCTTCCCCCTTGTTGTAACAGTTGTTGTTGCTGCTGGAAAATATTTTCGCTGTATACTTATACTGCTAATGGGGCATTACGTTTAGAGCCTAGAGCTAACCTGTTAAAGTTTTCATCAATAGGCCTGGCTTAGCCACACATATGTTATTTTGTGTGAATGAGGAGAGGCTACTGACACTCTTTAAAACTCTTGATACAAGCAAAGGTTGCTTTAACTACAGGTTAGATATTTTATTTAGTAATGGCAAACCTAACAGTAATTCAGCAGAAAAATCTAAAATACAGTTGCTGTAACATGACTCAAAGTTTAAATCAACTCTATTCTATCCCTATGTCTGCTAAGACTGTATTCACAATCTCTTTGAGCCTTGGGAAGAGTGCAAGATTGTAGTTGAGTAAAACACCTTGAAAATCCTCAGAAATGGTCATTTAGAGAATCTCTGGGTCTGTTATGGGTAAAAGGGTGTCTAGAATTTGGTTGAAGCTTATTTCCATCATCCTCAGTGTCTTCGGTTGATTGTCCATTTGTCCAGAATCTTCTTTGGCTTCAATGCTGTATCCTCCGTTCAATGCCTCCCTGCCCTGTGCTCCAAGCCCAGACACCAAGGATTTTCATTGGCCCGCAGTTGATGTTGTACTGGAATCTTGTTTGTGGGTCTGCTCAGGTTTGGATAAGTGTTTAGAGTAATCAATAGGAGCCACCTGTTCCTCTTCTATTTCAAAATCATTACAGTCTTCTGTCTTCATGACACAGAACACTGGTTCCTCTGGGAGTTCAGAGAGCTGTTGTAAGACTTTGTCACTAACTCCTCTGGCTGAGGAGGATTTTCTACTTCTTCATCTTCACAAACATTCCTGCCTAGCTCCTTGCCCAGCTTGGGTGATTTTGTAGTTTCTCTTTTAGACTGGTCAGGGCTTCTGGGGGATTATTTATCCTTGTGACGTTGAGATGATCTGTAATACTACCTATAAGGCCTGTAGGTCCACTCTTGTGAGCAGTAGGCCTCTTTTCCATGCGGCCCTTCCTCTCAATGTAATTTATGATAATCCCTGTCTCTTCTTGTGGCTTCATACCACCTTTTGTATCTATCACCACTGTCTAAATCTTTGTGCTCTCTTTTTCTAGTTTAGATACCCAAAAAAACTCTTAGGTTTTAGGAAAGATCGTGATTTGAGTTAAGTACATAGTGAAGTTAGGAGACCTCCTCCATAATAATACAATAATAACCATTAAGGTTATAGAAAGAAATGGTCATATGTTGTTTGAAATAGGAACCAGTCTCCCAGTTAAAATCGGATGTTTTGTTGACCCTTACATTACATCTTCCCTGACTTTACTTTATAACATCACTTAACTTCCTCTTTTGCTCTCATCATAATTACTACAGAGACAATATGTAGCTAAGCAGCAGTGCACTAACAGTAATATTTCCAAATATAACTGAAATGTCTTTTCTGTGCATCCTCTATCCATCTACCACTGCTGCCTTTGATACAGTAGATCATGGAGTTTTCATATCTTGACTGGCTCAGTGTGTAGGGATTCAAGGTACTGTTCTTAAGTAGTTTCAGTCTTATTTGACTAATAGGACCTTTGTTGTAAATATTGGT